CTGAAACATAGAATAAGAGAAGGCAGAAGGAGGATGATGATTTTGGTTTCTAATTTTCTCCTTCTTTAAGTTAGGTTTTAGCTAGAGGCCGGGAAGAATGTGGGAGGAAAAAGGATAATTTTGGTTTCTAATTTTCTCCTACCTAATTCGGCCAGTCCAAACGAGTTGAACTCGTTGACGAGTTTTAAGTCGAGAGCAAATTTATGCACTTAATTGGCGGGTTGAGTTCGATGTGGATTTTGTTATAAATGGGTCGCTTTCCGTCCTACTCTAGACCCATCTTCTTTTCTCTCTTTCCTGTTGCTACACCCAACAGACCAATGTTTTAGAAATCCTACCGTTGACCAGTCGTATCAAAAATATCATATATGGACAAATTGATAACTTGTTTTGATGGTTGAACCACCATTAAATTAATAATTTTAGTACAAAATATCTTATCATTGTCTTTGGGACATAATTTTCAGTACGGTTTCACAATCCTTGTTGGAGATGAAAGCTCACTTCACCAGCACCAGCTTCACCGTGCACACCCTCCTCGGCTAAGCCAATCAATAAATAATAAAAACTAACATAAACCCGTTCGCATTCGCTTAGCGTCTGAGCGAGTAGGTGATATTTTTAAAATTAATAGTATGAATTTTGACCCAAAAGTAAAGAACTTGTCATCTACAACTTTATGTAGTCGACGCAACAATGAACTTTAATAAGGGAGAAGAGTCGTCGTGCAAATGATTTCTATGTTTAAGTTGTAAGCACCTGAACTTTAATAAGAGAAAAGGGTCGTCTTTCAAATTATTTCTATGTTCAAATTGTAAACACCGGGTTCAAGTTGTTTGGATCATATTGAATAGGTTGGATACCCATAGGTTTGGGTGCTCAACCAAAAGGAAAAAGATAAATGAAAAATAATAAAGCGGATAAAGGTCGCTCCATACCAAAAACTTTACACAGTGAGCTCAACTCACCTTGACTGGTTCGAACCGAGTTTTTAATAATTCACACTCTGCTCAACTTGCCAATTTTAAAAGTAGATAAAACGCACTCTCGATATAAAACTTGTTAACACTAGGTCTGGGTTCAATTGTCATTCTCATCCAAAGGAAAAGGAGAAATAAAAACCATTAAAGCGAACAAAACTCCGTCTCGATCCAAAACTCGTGCAACTCGCTTTGACCCGATCGAATCGAGTTCTTAACAAATTCACACTCAGCTCAACTTGCCAACTACAAAAGCGGATAAAACTCGCTCTTGATACAATACTCGTCAATACCATGAGTTTGGATTCAATTTTCATTCTCAATGAAAAGGAAAAAATAGAAATTTAGAAATACTAATGTTGGGTTCGAGTATAGATATATGGTATAGAAGCACTGTTATTCCTTAGTGGTAAAGAGTGTTGCCACAAAGTACCTGAGTTTTGATGATAATATATACCAACTTATTCATAAAAAAATGTTGGGTTCGAGTCGCTTTGACCTGGTCGAGTTATGTTATACCCATGAGTTTGAGTTCAATTGTCATGCTTAACCAAAAGGAGAAAGAGAAATAAGAAAACATTAAAAAATATGAAACTCGATCCCAATACAAAACTCGACAACATATAGGTAATATAATGAGAGAGTTGGGTAAAAGAATGACTTGAAACTTTCCCACCTGCACTTGGGAGAATTTGGAAGCCACTAATGAATAGTAACTCCAATATTAGTGTTATGGACAATCCAAGTAACACATCGGAAATACAAGGGAATGAACCCTTGTATATTAGTATCCACCTAGCCCAACTAGTACGAGGCCTTTTGGGGAGGACATCCAAGAGTAAAACCGTGCGGGCTTGTCCCAAAACGGACAATATCGTACTAATGGACCAGCCCGATTTGACAATTAGCCTTTTATATATTAATTAATAATGTGGTATATGGTGGATTCCCATGTGGGAATGATACATAATTGCAGAATACAAAAAAAGTTCGATCAGAAAAGCAAAATGGAATAAGCAAAAAATGTTGCCGACTTGATTGTACCACATTACGTACGTATCCCAGCTCTCTTTTTTACTTCAGGGAATATTTTGCCGATTGCATTCCACGTACGTACCGTGAGGTTTCCTTAACGTTTCGGACTCGATCATCAATGTCTTAACGGTAGCTGCATTTCTTCGTCGTCGTCATGTGCAACTTCACTCTCTAGCATACCACCGGCGCGACGTAACAAGTATGCTTTGGCTGCTTTCCGTCGTCCTCGCAATCGTACTGTTACTGCGACAACTACTGCTAGCAGGACTTATTGTGGACAGTGCCTCAAGGTAATTAAGTAGTAAATTGAACTTATTGATCGCGGTGTATATATTAACTAATTAATTTGACACATGGTTTAGTTTATCATCCATGGATATGTGTGTCCATATGTAGTTGACAAATCTCGAGACGGGAGTTGAAGCAAAGGTGCGAGTCGTTCACGATTGTAATGTCGAAGGACGTGAATTGGATCGCGACAGTTTCAACAAGCTAAGGACTTAAGACGACAATGGAAATAAGGTTGAAGATGGTGACTATCATGGTGATCACCTTGTCTTGAAGTATCAGTTCGAGAATTGTGAAGACTGAACAAGAAAGATATGATTGGAGGCTATATATAATTGATCAACACATATTAGTCCCTCCAATAAATGTCAATGATATAAGCTAGGTTCCTAGAACACAAAGCACAAGAGTTAACCGGTTATTATGACATGAGTAATCAGGAGGTGATTGGATAATTTATCAAATATCAATTCAGAACTTCAGAGAAACCAATATTATTAGAAGACTCGGTAGTCCTACGGGAAAAGAGTGATCTTTCGCAGTATTTTGATTGCAACAATAATTAAAAGTGTTTGTTCAAAATTAGGGATGACAACGGCCGGGCGGTGGGATGGGGCGGTTAAAGGGGTCCAATTTGCTGGGATTGATGATCCTTTGCATGCTGAGATCCTCTCGCTTCGGGACGCGATTCTTTGGTGTATTGAGTCTGGATTTGACCAAATGTTGTTTGAAGGGGACGCGAAGACGATTATTGATAAACTCAACCAGGCGGATACGAGAGATAGCCGGGTTGGAGCCCTCGTTGAAGAAGTTCTGCATTGTTTATCCGACCATAGTGGGTTCTCTGTGCGGTTTGTAGGTCGGCGTAGTAATAGAGTAGCCCATTTGGTGGCTAAGAAGGCCCTTCATTTGTATCCGACTGCGAGTCGCTTCTTTGATTTTATGGCCTGGCTAAATTCCAGGATGTCACTATCTATTTTCTTATCAATATATGATTATCTTTTGTCCAAAAAAAAGGGGTTGGGGCGGATAGTGCATATCAGTTATTCTATCCAAAGTAGTTCGAGTTTTACCCATACCCACATAAGAATTGGGTATAAAATCAAAATCATGTTCATACCTGTTCGGGTTTCGAAGATCCATGCATAATAATTTCTCTTAATAACTCCAACCAACATGTTAACATTCATACGTATTTTTACGTTACATAAGTGGAAAAAGTACGAAAGTAATTCATTAGAATGAAAAAAATTAATTTCAAGCAAGACAGCTTTACTTCCATTTCTGTTTTCTTGTCTTGGTCTAAACTTTATAATCGAAACGGAATCCGGCTCGCGGATTCATTTTGGAATATTTGCCCAGCTACGCATCTAAACTTGTAATTTACCCTGAATCCACATCAAAAGGAAGACCACGTGGAGGCGCCTGTGAGGAGGAAGAGTGCAGCGACACTAGGTCAGCCAGTGAGGAGGAAGAGACGCAGATCTCAAATCCAACGAGCCGGGTTGGAGATGGGATCTTACCAATGCCAAAAACTGGATCTTCTGCAGCAAAGAACAAGGGACCAAAGATAAAATGCCAGATGGACCGAGACCTAGCTATGTAGGCCAGAGGATTGTGCCATGGAAACCAGCTTCAAGGAGCAAGTTTGGCTCGCGCACGAGAAGAAACACAGTGGTATTGGTGGGTGTCATAATCGGGGTTGATCCGCTAAACAAACTTGGATCTCTCCTAGATCCATCAGACAGACGCGGACCTCACTTGATTCGCCAAACCAGATGTAGCCCGAACGTGGATATTTTGCGGATCCACGAAACCAAACGCAGATCTCAAATCCCGAGGTCACCGAACGAGGGTCCACTGAACTGACGTCCACCACCATGTATCCGAACCAGGCTATGATACCACTTGTCAAACCGGGGTGCTCAATTAGTACGATATTGTCCGCTTTGGGTCAAGCCAGCACGGTTTTACTTTTTGGGTTTCCTCCCCAAAAGGCCTCGTACTAATTGGGCTAGGTGGACACTTATATACAAGGGTTCCTTCCCTTGTATCTCCGATTTGGTACTTGGATTGTCCCATAACAATCATCCCCTCAAGACAAGGACAACGAACTTCGTGTCTTCTCCTCAGCGATTATCTTGATCCGTCATACACCTTGTATCTATGGGCTTCTCAGTACAAAGACTTTACCAAACGCAGAATTCTTTTTGATCTGCTTTCCAGATGCGAAAGTCTCTTTCACACACCAAGTCCAAACGTGGATCTCTCCTGGATCCACCAAACATACGCGAATCGCAAATCCTGAGGTCCACCGAATGCATCAAACTAAATACATGAATGATACATCTTTTAAGAAAGAATGAACTTTTCATGAAGAAAAGTAGTATTTTCTTAGAAAATTTATAAGATCAAAATAAAAATATTGTGACAATCGAAATCAAACTACAACAAAAGTATTGATTAAGTCTAATTCAATTTAATGCATTTCACTAAAATGTTTATCGATATCCGCGGCAAAGCGCGGGCCAATTATCTAGTATGTATATATATACGCGATAAACAATTTAGTTTCAGGACATAAAGAAGTGAAGCAGATGTTAGAAACCTCTATCAGTGAAAAATATCAGTACGGATATGACATCTTAACAACAGAAAAGTTGAGGTATCTAGTTACCTCTAGTGATTAAAACCGAGCTATAGAAGATTCGGGCCCCATACATAAACATTAGGCGGTAGGTAGCTTAGTGCAGAGAGGCCAGTCAAGTTTGTGGATCCTTCGATGTTAACTTGTCGCAATCGCTTCAAACCAGACAGTCCCTCTGGTAATGTTTCAAATGATGTGCAACTACTGAGCACTAGCCATTCCAAAGATTTCAAATCTTCAATACCCTCAATCTCACGCAAATTTGAAGCACCGGTGACAATTAACGCTTCCAACTTTTGCAGTTTTGACAGGGAAGGTAGTTTCTGTATTGCCAAGCCACGCAACGTTAGTCTTGTCAACTCTTCCAAGGACTCGAGCCCCTCCAGCAGCAGTTCCTTGTCTACATCATCAGCCTCCGTCTGCTCAAGTTCCAACTCCAGAAGCCTCGAAAACTTAGACAGATGAAGCATCTGGCCGAAGCTAGTCTTCAGCAGCAATGCAGATCCACCTATGGACAGTTCTCGTAATGAGTCAAGTACTAATCGGCTCGCACCGCCACCACCACCATCACCAAGCTGCTGCTGGACATGGGATGATAGTGACGTGAGAAGAGGGCAACCCTGTATCTGTAAAGTCTGCAGCTTGTTAAAGGACAGCAGAGTTTCAAGGCCTTCGAGGAGACTTAAGCTATCTTCACTCATAATACTGAGCACTTGCAATGATTTCAGCCCTTCAATGCCTTGGATTTCAGCGAGATGTGGACATCCAAATGAATGAAATTTGCATAAAGTGCTCAAAGACGCGAGGCTGGGCAGCCTTCGCAACTCATGACAGTTTGAGATTTCCAACGTTTTCAAAGACACAAGACAGTCAAGGCCTATAAGATTACGCAAACTCACTCTATCTATGATTAAAACTTCCAAAGATTTTAACCCTCCTAGGCCTTGGATCTCCTTGAGCGCTGGGCAGTCATGAATGGATAGCAAAGTCAAGTTTTCCAGATTCTCTAAATTTGGGAGCCAATTCAGTCCCCAATATTCACGGATATCCAGCCTGGTAAGAGTTGAAGGAAGCAGCCTGAAAGGTCGAAGACTAATCGTCGTCGTCATCCTTGTTCCATAGAGTTCCATAGACTTCAACTTGGACAATTTCCACCACATGGTGTCTGCTGGGGGGATCTCAAGCCCATAGGAACAGTCTCTAACAACTAATGTCTCCATCTCAATAAGCTCAGAAAGGTTAGCAATGGGAGATGAAGTGATCAGCTCCTTCAAACTTGTGGGTAACCGAATCCCAGCCCGAGTTCCATGTGTCGCCACAATATCAGTGCCACTTGCTCTCAAGTGTTTAAGAACCTGTAGTTCCCCAATGTCAGCAAGGGCTTCTCCTAGATTCTCACAACGGAATTCTGTGACATCAAGCTCTCGCAGCTGTTTAAGCACCCCAATGGTTCCACCCGTTATCTTTCTTACTCCACCACCTTTCAGGAGCAGCACTTTCAGGTTGCTTAAATTCCCAAGATCTAGGTCCGCAGATCTCAGCATGAGGCAACTGAGATTCAGTATCTCTAGACTGCCAGATGTTGGGAAGCAGGGAAGTCTCGTCATGTTATAACATTTAGTAAGATCTATAACCTTCAGCTTTTCTGCCACCTGAAAAAAAGAATGACAAGTAGTACAGCTTATGGATGGCGGTTGTTACGTTCTGTAAACAAGTATTATTTGAGTAGTAGGATACAAATACAAACCTTGATGATATTGCGCCAACCTCCCCAATCATATGGAACATCGCTTGAATGGAGGTCAAGAATTGTCAAATTCTCCATCTTCAAATTAGTCAGCTTATTATGACCCGCATTTCGGTGGTAGTGCAGACGAAACCATCTCATCTTTGGTAGAAGATTACTGAAATCTCCAATGAGCATTGTATATTCTGCGTCCAAATATCTCAACTCCGACAAATTTACGAAACAGTCGCTTGCCATCTCCTTCGCAACAAATGATCCTGAATTCACTCTGAGGGTCTGGACTTGGCTTGGTCCCTGTAAAAAGAAGTGGGTAAAATCAATCAATATATCATTCGTTTTAACTCGAAATTTAAGACATTTTGCATAGAAAGAAGTAAAGAACGCATTGATTATGATCACACAATGATATCCACTATGTTTGAGCAAAGAAAAAATTAACTCTTCAAAACACATTTTGTGTAGTTTCATAATGATATGACAGTGGTATTAGGGGTGATAAACGGTTAGTCGGTTATCGGTACCGATAACCAAACCGATAAAGTCGGTTAGTGGTTAACCGATAACCGCTACTTTCTTATTGATTTCGGTTTCGGTTAGTAGTATTTTGGTTAGTGGTTAACCGCTAACCGATTAATCGGTTAGCGGTTAACCGATAAGAAAACCGATAACCGCCTACTAGTGTGACTACATGGTTTTTTACTTTGGCTAAGGGAAAAAGTTGTAAGATTCAAAACCAATCAAAGTTGCAATTCCAAACATCCCAATTCTCACCTATTGCAAACAACCCTCCATCAAAAGTCTCAAATGTTTTTAAGAGTTAGAACTCGAAAGTCACCCCTCTCTAAATCCCCTTTGCACTCGATAGAGTGAACCTTAGGTTGATGACTATGGGCTAGATGAAGATCTTGGAGTAAATGATGACTATGGGCTAGATGAATTGGAGCGAGATCTTCGGATCATTTAGGTTGATGATTTGGAGATAATGAATTTGTTATTTGTGTCTTGTTGTGATTGTGACTTGTGGTTGAATTGTGGGCATGTAGACTTTATGTTGCGGAGTTGTGGTTGAATTGTGTGGTTGCTTTAGACTTTATGTTCAATTGATTTAAATGACTTTATGGTGTGTGATTATAGAGGCTGAAACAAAAGCAGGTCACTCAAAATTGAGGGTGAATCATTAAAAAAGGTGGTTGAAATTTGGTTTTGGGTGGTCGATTTCTGAACGAAAACCGAGAAAGTGAACCAGAACCTGCGGTTTCGGTTAACCGCAAGGGAAAACCGAAACCGATGTTTGAGGTTTTCGGTTAACCGAAGTCTCTGTCGGTTTCGGTTAGTGATCTTGGGACAATTTTGAATGCGGTTAACCGATATTTCGGTGCGGTTAAACCGAAACCGCACCGACTAACACCCCTAAGTGGTATGATGACTCATCTACTTAATTGTAACTCATACTTTAAAAAAATTGTCCAGAAAGAATGTGTTACTAAAGATTTTTACAATGATGTTCATTTTGTTAACTATGTTAACATAAGACCTCATTCCAACATCACAGTGTCATACTAATATCATTGAGTGTCATATCATGATATTATCAAGATATGACACTGATGGTGGCTTCTATCGCACCTTGAGTAAAATCTAAGGTACAACATACCCTGAGTAACAAAACGCTATCTAGACCTCGAATTAATCGGATTTTTGGGCATGATACTATACCCTATCTATTGATGAGTGAACCCTATGTCTTAGTTATCTAAATCATAGAGTCTAACCCCTAAGATTGTGCATGTAATTTGTTGCACATATTTTGACGAATCATAACCCGTCAAGTTGATCTTAGAGTATGAGATTTATAGAATTAAAATCGAGATTTTAATCTTTAAGGATTTGTGAATAGTGTCAGATCCCAAACTCTAACCAATTCAAAATCTAGATATAAGTTTCTTAGACTGAGAATCAACGAACTGACCCATCAGACAATCACGCCCATCTTTCCTATCTATATATACTAGCTTCTAGTTTCGGCCATTTGGCCTGAATTTTTATCATTTTTATTTTAAATAAATGATATGTTTTTTATAAATAAAATAATAAAAGACTGGTTAGATAGTTATTTTAATTTAGAGTTTAAACGACAGCTAGGTAACATATCAAAAAATTTTAAAAAATAATTTTACATGAAATTCAAAAAAATTGTGGTGCACTAATCCTCCTATTATCTATATTTAGTTACACTAAAGTTTAAAAAAAAAACTATAACTCTTGACAGGCCTAATATAAAAGATAAAAACATCAATAAAAAATAGAAAAGGTTTTGAGAACTAATGGACAGTTCGATCAATAAAGTGGGGAGAAAATAATTTATACAAAATACAACCAAAACAATGTGGAAACATACCTTCTCTCTACTTAGCAACTCCAATGCTTGTGGGTTTGACCATATTCTACTTCTTCTCAATGGATTTTCAACATTTTCTCGATGGACAATGTTTACACCGAGATCCCTAAGTTGATCGTGCATTTGAAACTGATTGCCATCCCCGATTTCAACAAGCGACCGCTGAAGAAGTATGATAACATTACTTATGGGGTAAAATCCACAATCAGCCCACATGTAACTGGCCATCTCTTTGTCCTCTCCAACGAGGAAACAAGCAATATCCAAAAAAAATCTGCTTTGCCTGGTAGTTTAATGAAGCGTAGCTGATCATTAATACCTCCAGAACCTCTTCCTCGAGTGTGTACGTGTTGTTGAAACTGGGCTAGTTTTTCTTTCCAAAACCCTTTATCTTCCTTATATAAAAGTGATCCTACAACCTTGAGTGTGAGTGGAAGTCCCCCCGTGGTAGACACAACATCACCGGACAAGGTTTCGTAACCTGGCAGAGGAGAATCCATATCGAATGCATGCTTGTAGAAAAGCTGAAGTGAGTGAGTACGACTCATTCCGCGAACTTTATAAAGCTTGTCATCTTCCGTGAAAGTTCTCAAAACTCTGACGTTTCTAGAAGTAACGATAAATCTGCTTCCAGATGCGAAATTCTCGAACTTTCCTAATATTTCGTCGAGTTTAGATTTCTCGTCCACATCATCGAGGATAATGAGCACTTTGAATCGAGACACCCTCTCACGTATGATTCTGATTCCGTCACTGACACTAGTGATAGGTTCAACGGTTGTCAGTCTCATAACGTCCGAAATTATTTTCTTCTGCAAACTAATAATACCGTCCCTCTGCTCTAGTGTCTCTCGTACGTCGTCCACAAAACTACAGCGAGCAAAACTACCTGATATTTTGTTGTAAACTGCCTTTGCAATGGTGGTTTTACCGATACCACCAATACCATGAATTCCAACCACTCCCACACTTGCAGAATCGAGTTCCATCCTTTCTTTTACTGCTTCTATATGATCATCTATTGCAACCAATTTGTCAGTCTCTACTACATATATGCTCTTGCTTAGATGTGACCATATAATGCTATAAACAAGATCCGTAATAGCTCCCTGCCTGAAAATTTTGGTATTTGAATATGTCAACCAAACTATATATGCGTGTGAATAAGATTAGGTATATATATTGACGTCGTAACTCGGAGTTTATTTTCAAGAAAATTATCGAGGAAAATAAAAAAGTGATATTTAGGCTGCTGAAAACAAATTAAATATTTAATTTGTAACGATAAGATAACAAAGAGGCGCGAGGAAGAGATGCATACTTATCGTTGCTTTCGACATGCCATCCTTTCAGAGCTCCAACTTTACTCAGAGCATCTCTCCACTCCTGTACGGTCCTCTCATCAAAACTCCTCGAGCGCTTTCGAAATGCCTGCTTGAAAGGACCGGTTTGATGTCGTACGTCGCTGGGATTGACCATGTAAAAAATGGGGAGTATGATGCAACCCTCCTCGTGTTTTTGGCGTTCAACAATAGCGGCCAGCTCTCTGAGGCACCATTTACTGTTGGCGTAGTCCTCCGAGAAGATCGGAACGTAAATCTTCGATTGCTCGATGGCCTCGACGAGGCTTGGCCATATCCCTTCCCCTTCCCGGAGATTCTCATCGTCTAAAAATGTTCGAATCCTCAAGCGAACCAGAAACCGATAAAGGATATCGGTGATCTGATAACGAGTGTCCGGGCCTCTGAAGTTCAGAAACACCTCGTATTCTCCCGAAGGAAGAGGCAGCTGCCAAGTATCGGAATCAACACCAATCGATGCATCCGATGGGTCAGCCGCGGTGGAAGCCCCTTCAAAATAACTCATTGCTTCATAAAAACACACCCAGAAATTACAAACTTTTGTGTCAAGGGCTACTAAGAAGAATAAGATGTCTCAAGGACTAACAATTAACATGCAGATTCAGAAGGAAATGGAAGAAATTGAAGCATGAAAATGGCGGATGATAGAAATTTGAGGACTGGTGGAAACAATCAATATTCGTACATCCAAATTCAATTCCAGCAGATATTGTCAACAGTTAAGGATTAATGGATCATGTATACGTTCATTACCAGCTGGAGAGAGCGGATGATCAGTATCAGCTTCTGGAGCAGAAATTGGAAGAAGGAAAGTGAGGCAGCGAGGAGAGCCAAGACGACTTGAGACGACTGTGGAAAAATGGAAGCTTAATTAAGGAGCCGATCGAGTAGTCTTTTCTCAAAGAAACTGAGAACCGCGTCGGCAGTGTGAACAAGTGGTGGGAAATAATTGAAGGTATTAGAGTCTAGTCGTTGGATACTAGTGGAGGTAAAGATGCAACTTGCATGTAGTGTGAACGTGTGGAAGGAAATTAAGGGGTCGTTTGGAAGTTGCGATTGTTTCGTTGAGATTGTCATTATGCATGTATGGTTTACAATACATTGTTTTTTTGTTTTTTTAGCAGAAACAATACATAGATTGTTTCTATGATGTGACAGAAACTATCACTCATTTTGAGTGATTGTTATATCTCAACTTTTAGTTGTGATTGTTGAGATAGTTGAGTTGAGATTGAATTTAGCCAACCACACATGAACTCGTTCTAAAAGATTTTGTCGAATGTGCAAAATGTATTTCCCCACAGCCACGCCACATTGTCTTCCATCACATGGCATCAGTTCACTTTTCAAAATTAGAACGGTACATAACGTGATTATAATAATCTGAATCATTAGTCAACCTAATGTCATACTTATTGTTTATCAAAATAGACCATTAACTACAAAACCAATGTTGTTAACTAAAATAAATGATTTTGAAACTAGAATAGCCCATTAATAACAATAGGATTACATTAATCAATTCAATGTATATGAATGATCCAAAATATCTATATGTGATTGATGGGCTATTCTAGTTACAACGATTTAGTGCTTAAAATTAGGATAATGTCTATTTTTTATCCAAACCCTTTTCAGATTCTTTTATATTATCCAAACCTATTAAAATGCTATTAATTAGCCAAATCTTTCGTAATGCATCAAAATATTAGCCATTTTTACGTTATCATTAATAATTTTGTAACTTTTTTCTTAGTTAAAATACTAAAATTTTGGAATGTTGACATTCATGTGTCTCGTCCAAGTCAGTATCATGTTGCCAAGTCAATATTGCTAAAAAATTTGCTAACTGAAAATTAACATTTGGGTAACTTTTAGCATTTTAATAGGTTTGGATAATATAAAAGAATCTAAAAAAGGTTTGGATAAAAAATAGACATTGTCCTTAAAATTATTGTCTTCGTATATATCCATATTCTATGTCTAAACTGTATAAAGATTAGGTACTAGACAATAATTTCAAGTTGTATGTGAACATCCAAAAAAGCAACATTGAATATGGAGAGGTGAGGGAATATCATCTCTAGTTTCGACAAGAACTTCCATTGTCGTCATTATTTCTTGGGAGCTTATTAAACTTGGTATCAATACCATCAAGCTACCTTGAACAAAAAGTCAAGCACTCACCAATTTTATATGCTTCTGCTATGGAAGCCTCTGGATGAGCTTTATTACGAACATAAGACTTAAGAGTTCGCAAAAAAACTTTCCAATGGGTACATCCATGTTGTTTGCAGTGGTCCAACAATCATAGACTCCATAGGCAAATAAACACACAAATGCACTATGATGTCAAATAATGAATGATGGAATATCATCTCTAATTTGCATAAGGTCATCACAATTCGGCGTTGAAGGCGATCTAGATCATCAACACTCGGACTTTTGCAGCACAAGTCTCGAAAGAACGCGCTTAATTCAATCAATGGTTCACATACTTTCTTTGGTAGATGCCGCCTAATTGCAAAAGGAAGAACTTGCCATTTCTGAATGGCTATGGCCATAGGACCTCTGGGCCATCAGGGTAGTTGCAGCTTTGGCCAAATCTGTGGTGGAGATGAATCCAGCTTCATTTCGAAGATTCATGAGGTTGATTTGCTACATGCCGGAATGTATGGGATGGGATTATATATGTGACTATGAGAAGTTGGGATCTTCTTCTGCCAATCTCCCTCATCTTCTTCCTATGTTTCTTTTCATCAATCAAATTGGGTGAATCCAATCAGAAAAAGAAGAAATTGTGAAAAGCCAATCAGATCGAAAAATAAGAATTTGCCAGTGAGTTTTTCATGGATTTTATTTCCCAATTCTCCAAATCCAATGATGAGGAGTTCCCCAAATGTTTATAGACATATAAATCCTCACATACACTAAAAAAAAACCCTCTATGCCAAGGGTTACGTTGCAAGGGTTAGATAAACCCCTACAAAAAATTTCGGAAATCATTTTAACAAGGGTTTCTTTCGAGGGTTTAGTAACCGTTGCTAGCGAACAACTCTATTTCCTTACCCCACCAAAAGTAAGAATAAAATAACCCTCATCCTAAAAAAATCCCCAATTCTCCTCTTTTTCGCCTCTCTTTTCCTCCCCAAATCGTGGATCTAAGCTCCGAACTCGGCCATCGCCATCGCCGCTGCCATAGACTATGGAAGCCTTCATTTCAATTAGTTCGAGAACATCGCACAGCGGAATCAACAATGTTACTGGCAGATCGCTAGGCCAGAGCGGAGCTTCATCGCATCGCTAAGAAAGTGGTCGTACTCGTGCTTCCTGCCGTTGGCAAGCTTCTTCGCAATAGCCGCAAGAAAATATGGTTTAATCACCGGATTGATGTTGTGAAAGCAGCAGTGGAGGTCGATGGTGATTGAGCTAACAATCGAAGACGACACTGTCCCTGTATCATATATGAAATTAGGGTTCACATGTAGTTCCTCATATGTCTTCCCCTGCGTAGGATTGCGATTTCGTTCAATTATTCTATCGGTTTCGATCGAACATTCTCCTAGTTATGTGATTTTAGGTTTATTGTTGTGATGAGCATGGAACCTTCTGTCTTTCATGTCGACTGTGGATCTTACTATCACTCGAAGTGCGGCGACTTGATGTGGACACTAAGTTCTTTCTAAATAGACAAGGTTTTAGAGTTAGTAGTCCTCCGGTCTCTCTATCTGGAGCTATTTGGACTTATTTACTTACTATTCCATTCTCTTCCCCAATTTTTGCAGCTTCGGAATGTGAGGATGGGGACTGATGTTGAGATTGGAGCAAACAGTTGGGCTAGCAGGGGCAAGTTGGAATCATCTTTAAGAGGTGAGCTCTTGTAGGTTGAGTTATGATGATGTGAGTATGATTGACTTAAGTCCTAGTCCTTATGATGTTTTCTCTCCTTTTATATGATAATACTAATGCTAACATTACTTGATCTTAATTCAGGGCTGACTTCCTGTGAACTAGAGTTGGGTTGTAGTTCAAGAATAATCGCAGGAGCAACTTGATTTGTAAAAGATGTGTATGATTATTTCTGCTTCTTCTTAATCCACTCAATTATGGTTTGTTATTTACTTGATTCTATGTTCTCGTTCTCATTGAAATTTCATGCCTAGTAATTCGACGCTAGTAAGACTTCCATCTTTAGTTCTTCTATATATATGTTAGTTCATTTTACCCTCAGTTACTTAATAGGCAGATCCAACAATTTCGCATGGCTGCTGAAGGTAGCATGATTAGACTTTTGATTGGTTTAAGTGTTGGTTATATTATTGTTGAGGTGGGATTAGAACCGTTGAGCTGCTGCTGCAAAAAGGGAAGTGTCTGCCAATCAAATGGAAGATTCCCTCTTGTTTCTCTGGATTCCTTGCGGGAAAACAGTGTGGGAAACTTTATGGTGACGCTCTCTGATCCCCAATAGATAGGTACATGATACTGCCAGTTGGTCTAGATCATTGAAAGTGTAGGTTCTTCCTTCTTTTGATCGGTTGTTGCAATCTGTGTTCCAGGAAAATCTCTAATGTTTAGTTCAGCTTTAACTTTGCAATTTATTTGAGGCTTAATTGGACATCCAGAGATTCTAATTCCTTTTGTTTCCATGACTTCGTTCTGGAGGGTTTGTCAATCCAATGTACCGCTCTGATGGTTATGCCAACAAACTTGGCGTGTTTTCTTCCAAGTGGAGTTCTTTGTCCTTTGGTACAGATTTTTCATCCTTTCTGGCTTCTGCATCTTTATAGTCTAGAGTTTCCAAACTGTAGTTGGTGATTTTTTTTATATGGTTAAGTGCATCTATAGTTCTAAGGGCGATATAGTTCTATCATTTTGTTCCTCAGTATCATAATATTTTTGCTGTTCAGACCATGGCGAAGTTCGTCAGTAGGAAGTTTTCAGGACAAAACTGGATGGAAGATGCTGAAAACAATCAGGTAATGTCTCATCTGTCTTTTTTCTTGGTTAATTATTTCTGACTGATTCTGGTTCTGGGTTTTCTACCCTGGTCGGGGTTTAAGATCAAAACTTTGTTTTCTTGATTAGTATAAGATGATCCTTACTCTGCTACTACATGCACCTGAAGGGTAATTTTTTGATCCAATTAATAAACATTGATCATGATCCGATTTCATTAACTGGGAGTTGGATTAGGTTGAAGTGGTAGGCAGGACTGTGTATCAGCAGCTTTGATTCAAATTGGTGCTATGTAATAGCCTGCTTAGTGATATGTTTGGGTGTAACAGGACTTGTAAATTACTTATTAATCTGTTGCCAATCTTAGTAGCTTGGCACCAACTGTCTCTTCCCTTTTTCGTTTCTTGTTCTAGGGATAGAGTTTGGTCAGCTGATCTTGTTTACAGTACACACATGGAAGTAACCTACATTGTTAGTTATGGCACTTTTTATTTTATTTTATGAGCAGGGTGCCACTAGTGCTCCTACACCATCAATGGGATCTCGAGC